CAGACTGGATTAAGAAAATGTGGCACATATATACCATAGAATACTATGCAGCCATAAAAAAGGATGAGTTCGTGTCCTTTGTAGGGACATGGATGCAGCTGGAAGCCATCATTCTCAGCAAACTATCGCAAGAACAGAAAGCCAAATACCGCATGTTCTCACTCATAGGTGGGAATTGAACAATGAGATCACTTGGACACAGGAAGAGGAACATCACACATTGGGTCCCATTGTGGGGAGGGGGGAGAGAGGAGGGATAGCATTAGGAGATATACCTAATGTAAATGATGAGTTAACGGGTGCAGCACACCAACATGGCACGTGTATACATATGTAACAAACCTGCACGTTGTGCACATGTACCCTAGAACTTAAAGTATAAAAAAAAAAAAAAAAAAAAAACTAGAGTGGTAGTGGTTGAACAACATTGTGAATGCACTAAATGCTATTGAACTGTATACTTTAAAATAGTTAATTGCATGTTATGTGAATTTCATCTCAATAAAAAATCATATAATGAATCATGTATTCACCTTGGCTTACTGATCTACAAGTATATTCTCTATGTTTACAGGATAATTAGTAGAAAAGAGTTATAATTTAGATTGCATGATAATACCATGAAAAGCAAATCTTATTTATAATTCAAGATAAATGTGAGATAAAAGTCTAACTAAAAGCCTAAAAATTACTTTTAGGAGAGTCTGCAAATTTTCCTCTCAAAGTTACAATTTTCTTTAAAAAAAAAAATTGGAAACCAGATGGTCTTATACATAAAATCTCAATATTAAATCCATATGGGATTTAAAAATTAATTCTGTTGCAGCTGCAGCAATCATAACTGTAGTCAATGTGTTTATTTTTCCTTCAGTAATGTTTAGAGCAGTGTTTCTCAAAGTGGGAACTTGTTAGAAATGCAAATTCTCATGCTCCACCCCCATCTACTTAATCAGAAACCCTGGGGGTGAGACTCCCGCTGGCCATCTGTGTTTTAATAAGCCCTCCCTGTGAATGCTCAAGTTTGAAGACCATTGGTTAAGACCAATAAGCACAAGTGTTGGACAGGGAGGCCATTATAAGCATTTTCTTACCAGACAGCGTCGATTCTTAAACATTGCTCTGTTTGTCCTAATTCTTAACGTGTCAGCTTGCAACACCTGTGAATTAAAACTAAAAAGAAAAAGAAAAACATTTGTTATAAAATCCATTACAAAAAAAAAATTTTTTTTTTTGAGACAGAGTCTCGCTCTGTTCTGTTGCGCAGGCTGGAGTGCAGTGGCACGATCTCAGCTCACTGCGACCTCTGCCTCCCAGGTTCAAGCAATCCTCCTACCCCAGCCCCCTAGTAGCTGCGATTACAGGCACGCACCACTATGCCCAGCTGATTTTTGTGTTTTTAGTAGAGACGAGGTTTCACCATGTTGGTCTGGCTGGTCTCGAACTCCTGACCTCAGGTGATCCACCCGCCTTGTCCCCCTCAAAGTGCTGGGATTACAGCGTGAGCCACCATGCCCGGCCACAAAATTCTTTTAAAGATTTGAAATACCTAAGCCGGGCGCGGTGGCTCAGGCCTGTAATCCCAGCACTTTGGGAGGCCGAGGCGGGCGGATCACAAGGTCAGGAGATCGAGACCATCCTGGCTAACTCGGTGAAATCCCGTCTCTACTAAAAATACAAAAAACTAGCCGAGCGTGGTGGCTGGTGCCTGTAGTCCCAGCTACTCGGGAGGCTGAGGCAGGAGAATGGCGGGAACCGGGAGGCGGAGCTTGCAGTGAGCGGAGGAGATCGCACCACTTGCACTCCAGCCTGGGCGAGAGCGAGACTCCGTCTTAAAAAAAAAAAACAAAACAAAAAACAAATACCTAAACAGCAAGGGTAAAGGCAAGCTGTGCAAAGGTAGAAATTAAAACACATACACACATACAGCCTTGGTTGGCTGAGCCTAAACAAGTCTCCACATAAGGTAAGGAATTCTCAAGCACACTACTTTACTCCTAATTATGCTACGGAGAATGAATATAATTTATTGTGAACTTGGAAATACATCATTTTCAGTTTAAACCTGTAAATGATTTAAATTTATGATCAGAGCTACAAGGTGCAAATATCAATTCCCTCTCAAATTCCCAAAGTTTCACATGAATAAGAGGAGTAACAATAGCAGGGGTTGATGGAACTCAGATTTTCCACAGATGTGTTTGGTTTGGCCTACACAGTGTTAAAAATGTTTTTGAAATTGTTTTGTACACTGTGAGATTTCACATTAAAAAAAAACAAAAACAAACAAACAAAAAAAAAAAACACCCAGATTCCAACTTTCTGGCTTCTATTGAAAAGTTGCAAGATTTTGCAACACTGGGCCACATTCCCATGATAACAATGGACTGAAGTTGTGCAGCTGCTGCCCACTGAAGTTAGGTCTGTGTCCTCAGCTTTGATGGTTGCCCACCAAGTGAACTCGGTCCTATTTGACCTTGTAATCCTGAAGAAATCATTTCATTGTTTTTTCAGAGATGTGGTCCCGCTATATGTTGCCTAGGCTGCCCTCAACCTCCTAGGCTCAACGATGCTCCTGCCTCAGCCTCTCAAATAGCTAGGACTACAGATCCCAGCTGTGTCTGGCATGTTTTCCTTTTTATTGTAACTTCTTATTTTGAAACGGTTTAAGACTCACAAGAAGTTGCAAAAAGAATACAGATGGTTCGCATGTACCCTTCATCCAGGTTCCTCCAATGTGAGAAATCATCTATAACACTTTTGTTTTAGCTGCCTATATCCAGTCAACTGCCAGTATTTTAGATTTTACCTCTATACTCTCTCTCTCTGATATCCACCTGATTCTTTTCATGCTCCTTGCCAAAAACCAATTCAAGGTCTTTTTCCTTTTCCACAGACTGCCATAGTCTAACTGGGCTCCTTGCCTCTCTTCTTTCCCTTCTCTAGGCTATCTAACAGACTACCAGGGGCACCTTCCTAAAGAACAGTTTGCTCACAGCTTTCAATGACTCTCTTCAGTGCCTGTCAAATTCAGTTACGTTCTTTACTATGACATTCAAAGCCCTCCACAGTTTGGCTCCAGACTCTTCAATTTCATGGACTAGTACAATTTCAAAACAAAATCTAGGCAGAAACATAGTTGCCACCTCTTTCTTTTACCAAGTCAAGTCATTTTTTAAAAATCCCACCATTGACCAACACCATCATTTCATTTGTAAAATGACACTTTGGTATTAAGAAAATAAGAGAATAACAAATCTCAGAGTACAGTACAGTCCTGCCCAGGAAGGATAATTAGCAACTACATAATGACATTTTTAATTATGCTGTACTTAACTTTTTTAAAGGCACGGATTGGTAAAAACTTCACCTGAGATCAGCACTGATCAGCAGATGAACATTTGGGAGTCAGGGGTTCAGGCAAAGTGGACCATTCAGTTCTCTGGAATACATCTATGCTTTTCTGCCTTCAAGTCCGTTCTGTATATAATACTTAAAATACTATCCCAAGCATTGGTCCCCCTCTTTTCCAGGGTGTATCCTATCAATCCATGAAGGCCCATCTCAATTGTCACCTTCTTCATAAACTTGTCCTTCTCCCTCACCAGTCCCGCTGTAATTTCTCCCTTCCTTCTTTGAATTCCCCTAGCACTTTCTTTAGCTCCCTACGCACTTATCTTACTCTACCATACATTTAAGTCCTTAAAGTATTTACAGTCCCTATTAAAGTTTATTGAGCCCTGAGATATGTCTTTGCAACATCATAATTTGCATATAACAGGCGGTAACTTACTATTTTATGAATGGAAGGTATATGGATGTATCTAAGTTTACTTCCTTTCCCAGTCATTTTCTTTGTGAGAATAGGAATATGTTCTGGCAGTCACTTACAAGAAAATTGGAGGGACACTAATGGGCTATTTCTTTCCACTCTTTTTTGTTTACATGTGTAGGGGGCTTAATTCTTAGGGCTAGCAATGATATATTCTACCCTAAATTTGTTTGCCAATTTTAGTAAGACTATAACTGAAAGAAAGAATTCAGGCAATATATACTTCAACTGATATGCATTATTCAACATGAATTTATAAAACCCTAGGTGATATCTGAACTGAGTTAAGTGCTACTTCTAACTCGGAAAAAGCAAAGGTAGTATAACTGGATGGAAGTTCAATGTTCCACATCAAATGATCAATAAACAGCTCTGTCTAAACTATAATAGATTTATGTCACTTATATTCCCAAAGTAATCATTTTTCATGGCTGCTATTCTTCCACATTCGTAAGAGTTCAATAAACCAGAGGATGGGCAAACTTTCTCTGCAAAGGGCCAGAGAGTAAACATTTGAGGATTTGTGGGCCATACAGTATCTGTTGCAACTCCTCAGTTCTGCCACTGCAGTGGGAAAGTAGCCATAGATAATAACTAAACAAATGGGGATGGTTCCATTCCAGTAAAATTTTATTTGCAAATCCAGGTGGTGGACTGCATTTGGGTCTGGGGCAGTAATTTGCCTTTCAAATAGAATTGAGGGTCAGGGACAGTGGCTCATGCCTGTAATAGCAGCACTTTGGGAGGCCAAGGTGGGCAGATCATGAGGTCAGGAGTTCGAGACCAGCCTGGCCAACATAGTGAAACCCATCTCTACTAAAAATACAAAAATTAGCCAGGCATGGTGGTGCATGCCTGTAGTCCCAGCTACTCGGGAGGCTGAGGCAGGAGAATTGCTTGAGCCCAGGAGGCAGAGGTTGCAGTAAGCCAAGATTGAACCACTGCACTCCAGCCTCAAGACTCCATCTCAGGAAAAAAATAATAATAATTGAGGCAGTAACAGTTTAAATGCAGGGTCAAGGTAGAGGTTTTTAAGGTAGAGAGGCACTGGCAGGAATACAAGAACCTAATCTCTGAGTCTTTGCATAAGGGTCAGAGAAAGAGAAGAAAAAAACTCCTAGCTTTAAATATAGTTATTGACACTAGTAATAAAGTCAGCCAACTACAGGGATAAAGAGTATAAAGAACCAAGAGGTTCAAAACTTTTGACGTTGGAATTTTTATTAGTTCAAGATATACATAAAACAGTGCAGATACTTCTTTAAAACAGTAATACTGTATTAAAGAATTGATATAAAAGAAACCAATGTAAGGAATTTAATTCTGCAAATGCTGGTGCAAGAGGGTCTTTATATAGAAGAAACATGGAGCAAAGTTCGAAAATGACTTGAAAGAGGTGCAACAATGTTCAGCAAGCTAAATATTCTCTACAACAGCACAAAACATCCCCTCAGATCATTTGGGCAAGTTCCCTGACCTCAGGCATGTCACACATCATTCCTATGTTACTTCTTTCTGATGGACCGGAGTCTGTGAACTCTGTCCACTTTGTGGTTTCTACAACTCCTACTAAAGAAATATGCTAGTGATTCTCACTTTCTGAAGAGAATGCTTTACTGCCAGGTATAGTTTAGAAAGGGGAAGTACACAAGTATTAGAGGGCCAAGGAAGAAAAAAAAAAGGGAGAAAAGTGAGCAGTATGCATATGCAAATAAGAGCTGAGGTGAAAATGAATTCAACTAATGCTCAGTGTAATCCTACTCTAAATTTTTCTTGCTTCAGAGTAACTTCTCTGACCATGCCCTACATTTTCTACAACAGCACAAAATATGCCCTCAGATCATCTAGGCAAGTTCCCTAATCTCAGGGATGTCACACATCATTCCTATGTTACTTCTTTCTGATGGACTAGAGTCCCTGGACTCCGTCCACTTTGTGGTTTCTATATCTTTAAACTCCTACTAGAGAAATATGCTAGTGACCCTTACCTTTCTGTAAAAATTTTACTTCATGCATTAGGATCTTTAGCTATGGAATTTAACACTATAGCTATGCTCTAATATGATAAAAGCAAAAAACAAACAAAACAAAAAAAATCCTTTGCAGAACAAAGCAAGATATGAAGGGATAACTGAGATCTCTCTGTTTCCAAGGCTTTGAGGATTAGGGAAGGGTCCACTCCTTCTCTGGCATATTTAATACATTAAAGAGGATCCACAGGTTCTTTCAAGTACACATCCTCCATCGTCTATTTGCAGTCTATTTCTTCTTTTTATATTGTCTTCAATAAACCCAACATTCTCCCCACTGCTCTCTTCTACTAGTAGAGTGGGTCCCATAATTCCTTTATTTCCACAACAGGATTAGAGCAAAATCCTGAGTGAATAAAATGTTCTTGTTCTCAGCACAACATGCAGAGTCCCCCTTCTATGTTTTTCTACCTGCCTATTTTAAAAAGGTAATGTATTTTTTTTTTTTTTTGGTCAATCTTAGTTTGCTTTTCATTTTGTGAACAGTATATTCTCTCCTACCTCAAATGACCCAAAAGCTGCATTTATTTAGTTAATCAACTTAGTTATTCATTAGTAGTGGCCAGAACAGTCATTTAGGAGTCAGGAAACAGAGGTTCCTAGTACTGGCTCTGCCACTAAACATGTCATTTTGGAGATTTATGGGCCTCAGTTTCCTCATATGTTAAACAAGGAGGGTAAAGCTGGTCTCTGAATCCCTTCCTGATAAGTCTATGGTACTGTGAATTACAACTATCAATCAGTATGATGCCACAAAAGGTGAGGAGCAAAGTTAGCAATGTATGTAGTGAATGCATTTTTCAGACATTTTTATGATCTAGAAAACCTTATTAATACTGAAATGTGAGATCCAAAATATCATTTTAAAAGTCTAATTTAAGTAAGATTTAGGCCGGGCGCTATGGCTCATGCCTGTAATCTCAACACTTTGGGAGGCCGAGGCGGGCAGATCACAAGGTCAGGAGATCGAGACCATCCTGGCTAACACGGTGAAACCCCGTCTCCACTAAAAATACAAAAAATTAGGCAGGCGTGGTGGTGGGTGCCTGAAGTCCCAGCTACTCGGTAGGCTGAGGCAGGAGAATCGCTTGAACCCCGGAGGCGGAGGTTGCAGTGAGCCGAGATCACACCACTGCACTCCAGCCTGGGCGACACAGTGAGACTCCGTCTTAAAAAACAAAAAAAGGAAACAAGATTTAGTAATCCCAGATCTTCAGAAATACAGTTAACCATCATTTAGTGCAGTGTTTCTAAATTATTTTTTCATTATTGACTCTCTAAAAAGCCTTTTTAGATATTTTTTCCCCTAATTGCTTCCTCTCCGTGAAATTTTAATAACACATATATACTATATATCTGTGTACAGACTGTATATATATCTGTGCTTTATACATAAAAAGAGTAAAAATTTTTCACACTCCCCTAAGAACTATTTTCTCCCCGCTTGGGGGAAGTATCACCCAGTGAGAATGTGTAATTTAGGAGAGCAAGCTTCTGTGGTACCAAAACTTTTTGCGCCAATAAAAAATAGGTGTAGGACAGGAGCAGTGGCTCACATCTGTAATCCCAGCACTTTGGTAGGCTGAGGCGGGCGGATCACCTGAGGCCAGGAGTTCGAGACCAGCCTGGCCAACATGGTGAAACCCTGTCTCTACTAAAAATACAAAAAAATTACCGGGTGTGGTGGCAGGCGCCTGTAATCCCAGCTACTAGGGAGGCTGAGGCACGGGAATTGCTTGAACCCAGGAGGCGGAGGTTACAGTAAGCTGAGATCGTGCCACTGCACTCCAGCCTGGGCGACAGAGCAAGACTCTGTTTCAAAAAAAAAAAAAAAAAAAGGTGTAAAAAAGTCCAAAGCTTATTTGCTTGACAACCATTTCCATTCAAGTGGCTGGAGGTGAAGGTCAGAGGTGATAAAGCAGCTGAAATGACAAATATTACAGTCATGGCAGAAGATCTGGAGGTGAGTGGGGGAGGATGCTAAGTTTCTTCAAAGGAATGGGTAAGAAATGGGGTGAAGTTAGAAAAAAGCCGTGCTCCACACCAATTGGCTGCTGCATTCGGGTCCGGGTGGACTATCAGGGGAGGATGTTCAGATTCAGATGTGTGTCAACCTCAGGGTGGGTGCGCGCTCTCCCTCAGGTCAGCCCGTCCCACTACCCCCATCCAAGGTTGAGGGTGGGATCTCAGGACACCAGGAACAAGGGAGATACCTGCAGAACCTCAACAAATAAAGGGACGGGAATTCTATAGGAAATCACTTTCCCGAACACCTCCTCCCCACCCGCTTGCCTCCTTCAGTATCTCAACCTGGCTCACCCAAGTCCATTGATCAAAGGGGCACTGTTGACTCTTCTCGGAATGTTGCTGTCTGCGGTAGTGGAACTCGGCAGCGATTCGAAACCTACTTCCATTTTCTCCTGTGCCATGTCCGGGTCGAGGAATAAGTTCTCAAGGCTTTCCGGCTGCCGTTCACACAAGGACAAGTCGACTTAGTGGGCAGGTGATGTAAGGAGAGAGGCAAAGGGGAAAAAGAGAAGAGAGGAGAAAGCTCTTAGACGAGTAGGGGTGCCCACCTTTGCAGCCCTAGCATCCCTAACATCAGTGAACACAAAGTTAGGCAGGACTGGCTCCGAACCGCCTATCTCCCATGATCGGGGCCTCTAACGATGAGAAGATCCCCCACCTCCAAGTCTATAATGTAACTGGGGAATTTAATCTGTCACCGCCGCGAATCCTTCTCCATCTCTCTCAGCCCTGGCAACTCATGGTAAGCCTTTCCGGCCAAAACAAAAACTACAATCTGCCGCCTTTGACCATCCGTTGGGTTCCGCCCCTCAGAGCCTGCGATACGCTTCCAGTCAGACGACGCGTATTGTGACGCAGGCAATGACGCCACTTCACGCTTTGCAAGGGGCGCAGGCGCAGTTAAGAAGCCGCTTTATCCCCACGTCCTGCCCTCTTTCATCCTTGCCCTGTGCCCACTCCCCGTGGTTGTGCCTCTACTCTTTTACAAACCCTGGCATGGTTTCCTTAAGCATTATTTAGAAATGAAAGCGTTGGGAGGGGTGAGGTCCTTTCTGCCCTATGCCTAATTCTCAGTTTTCTTATCCCTTTATGACTGAGGCCAACAAGCTTCCAACCTCCTATGATGCATTTTTCCAACCTGTAACAGCAGACACACTACACCTTTGTAATTTTAGAAAAGCAAAAGTCTGAAAAGAAAAAAAAAAAGATACTGCTACCGAAGTACTTAGAGGCCACTTGTTCCCAAAGGATCTTGCTAAGGTGCTAACCTAACTGAGTTCATTTGGCAAACGAATTACTATTTTCAGTGTGGTTTCTTTCTATTTTAAACCATAATTGTACAGTTTTTTTGTTTTTTGTTTTTGAGATGGAATTTCGCTCTTGTTGCTCAGGCTGGAGTGCACTGGCCGTGATCTCGGCTCACTGCAACCTCCATCTCCCAGGTTCAAGCGATTCTCCTGCCTCAGCCTCCCGAGTAGCTGGGATTACAGGCGCTCGCCACCACGCCTGGCTAATTTTTGTATTTTAGTAGAGATGGGGTTTCACCATGTTGGCCAGGCTGGTCTCGAACTCCTGGACCGAAGGTGATCCGCCCGCCTCGTCCTCCCAAAGTGCTGGGATTACAGGCGTGAGCCACCGCGCCTGCCTCGGTGTGTGTTTTTACATTATATATAATCTGGCTCCTCACAGCTATTCATATAAAAAAGACCTCAGCTAATTTACAAAGATTTGAGTTAAAGCAGTGAGGCTTTTTAAAAAACAAATATCTCAGAATTTAGTATCTATGCAAATCAGTGTTTTCATTTCAGGTAGTATTAGAAGCTACATACATTCTAAGAATGCTGCCATGGCTCATATCATTTTAAGAACTGCTCTTTTAGAAATTTTAACCATCACTTAATGAGCCACACTAAGTACTAAAATCTTAACTCCATGCTAATAATTTTGTAAAACCACACATTTTAGTAACCATATAGAGAACTGGCTGAGAAGGCAAATAAACCTAGTGAAATGGGAATTGTTAATTAAAATAGTCATAACACTTTATAGATAACAATTTTTTTTTTTTTTTTTTGTGAGACAGAGTTTTGCTCTTGTTGCCCAGGTTGGAGTGCAATGGCGCAATCTTGGCTCACCGCAACCTCCACCTCCCGGGTTCAAGCTATTCTCCTGACTCAGACTCCAGAGTAGCTGGGATTACAGGCATGTGCCACCACTCCCAGCTAATTTTGTATTTTTAGTAGAGATGGGGTTTCTCCATGTTGGTCATGCTGGTCTCGAACTCCCGACCTCAGGTGATCCACCCGCCTCGGCCTCCCAAAGTGCTGGGATTACAGGTGTGAGCCTCTGCACCTGGCCTACAAAATGTTTTTACATACTTATCTGGATTGGTTCAATCATTAACCCTGCTCAGCTACCCAGTGGTGAACTTAAAATAATGGGACAGTCTTGAGATAGTTCGTGACAAGTTATGACATGTAAGATAATAAATATGTATTCTTTGTTCATTCTGGGAATAGAATAAGACAAACTTGATTATATTAGGCAGAATCAGATTACTTAAATCCCAGACATGAAGATGATGTGGAGTCCCCCTTCCTGACATAAGACAGATTAATAAGAGCTACTGTTTCTTGGACACTTACTATGTGCCAGGTACTGTCATAATCACTTTAAATAGGTGATTGCATTTAAAGTTTACAATAATTCTTTGAGGTAGGCACCATCACAATGCCCATTTTTCACAGGAGGAAACCAAAGCCCAGAGGGGTTACTCAAGTTACAACTACTAAGTGGCAAAGCCAAGATTCCTCTGCCCTTGTTTAAGTAAAAAAAAAAAATGAGATGCCTCAGAATATCTCCCTGGACACAATTTCTGTACTCATAAGCACTTGATAAATACTTATGAAATTATTTTATGAATAAATGCAGGTTTAAATAGCCTATCTTTCATAGTTATCTTGTAAAGTAGGTAAATCGTTTCTGTTTTACAGTTGGATAAAATTCCAAAGAGATTAATGGCACATAATTAGATAGCAGCAGAATTCAGGCTAGTATCAAGATGTCCTAAAAGCCACTGTTAAAATTCCCAGGGTACCTGAAAGTTTATAAAAGATGGTGGTTAAAGCTGAGTAAATTCAGGGTGAATGCAGAAGCAGTGATTAAAGACAGAACAGAGTCAAAAAACAAATTGCCTGAATAACAGAAAAATATGAAGCAGGCCAGTGAACAAGGGAATCTTACCTCCATTCTGTTCATTTTAATTTTCAACGTTTGCTAGTATTCTTGGCAGGTAATAAGATTTCATACGTATATTTTGAATAAATAGACAAAATTTCATCCTGCCTAAGCCTTACAAGTATCTAATTTTTAAATAAGTACAACACTAAGAAAACAGGTATAATAAAATGACAAGGAAAGAGTGACTAATGGATTGTGTTTCTAAGAAAAGGAGTTAGTAATATGAAATAACTAAATATATGAGATGGTAGTAATTTACAGCTATTATCAAAGAGAAAGAGCTCTCTTTTACTAAAGAACAGCTACATGTCAGGAACCCCAAACCTGTAAAGATATAAATAGGACTCATAGTACACACACAAATTGGAACATCAAAAGGAACAAGTAATACAAACACAGCAAGAATTCTATATGCTACAATGGCAAACACAACATTAAAGAAATTGTTTTCACTTCTCCCCATTTCTACCCACACATTATTATACCAACCTAGCTGTGTTTCTTGATCAGTTCTTCCAGTTCCAGGGAAATATGCCATGATCTTGGGACAGTTTTTGTTAGATCTAGACTTGACAATTAGGCTACTCTTCTCTGCATATCCCAGTCTGCTGCCCTGTGTCCCAGGCCCTCACCTATAAAAGGGAAGCAACAAACGTGATAATCAGCTCTTTATTTTACCAGTTGTCATGACAACCTTGAAGCTACGTTGTAACCTTTAGTTACCACAAGAGCAAGCCAAATACAAGTTGAACCCAAATCTACAAACCACAAATACCCCAAACCTTCCCAAAAGATTTACATGAAAGGTAAAAAAAAAAAACTAGCAGGCAAGAATGATGTGAATAAAACCTAGAAATGATGGCCAAAGTAGCATTCTTCTCCTCTTGTTCTCCTAAATTGTTAAGCTCCTGGGGTCAGTGCATGTGCCTCCTCAACAAATGATTGTTTAGTAGCTACTGTGAACAAAAGAATGTATTATAATTTCTTTTGAGCAGGGAGTAGGAGGTGGGGCTGGCCTAAAGGGTTGCTGAGACCTTGAGATAAAAAGAGATACCTAAGTTGCTCAAAAACAGAGGTTGTTGTTTCTAATCTAGCTGGGAGAAAAATACAGGCAATTTAAAGGAAACCATCTAAAAGTACTTACAAATCCCTCATACTGCAGGCAGAAAGCATAAACAGTGAGGAATAAAATGACAATTGGCCTTGGCAAGTTTAGTATGGGATAATTGAAAAGAGGCAGGCAAAATTATTATTTCTGGCTGAATTTTGAAAGCAATTTCATAACGATTACATTTCAATGCAATGGCCTTCTCTTCCCCAGGGCCATTCAAGTGGTGAGGATTGAGAGTTTGTGGAGTCCTGATAAGATAAGTAAGAAACAATGAGCAAAGCGCCCCAGGTGGGGAAGAACAATGCAAAATTGTTCTGAGAGACCTAGGGCACAACGACCTCCTTCCACATGTGGGTCCAGCAGCATGACTTGTTTCCACATGCAGCCCCCTCCAGCTCCCTCCAGACCCTGCCTCTTTGCAGATAGCTCCTCCTCTGCAGTGCTGCCCTTTGCCTCCTTGCAACATATTTTTCATGACTTCTCTAATAAACCTGCCTTTCTTTACCTATGACTGTCTTGGTAAATTCCTTTACCACCTGCGCCACTGGCCAGTTGCACGTGCAACATTTTGGTGGCCCGTATGGGCCTCTCCCCTACTCTCTTCCTTTCCTCCAATTCCAACCTCTCGTTGGACAGCATCAAAACCCTGAGATAATTTAAAGTCCCTGGCCAGGGCTGCTCCCCAGGGAACCAGGAGGTACCGGTGGAAAGACATCAGACTGCTGCCCCACGATCCTGTGAGAGTTCAGAATTTGCTTTACTTTTCAGTCTTCCAGCCGACAAATTCTAGTATCCCTCTGGCAATTGATGGCAACTGGTCAGGGCCATTTCCTGGTGTGGCCTGAAGGCCAGCGGGTGTGAACAGGTTTGGCTGCCTTGCCCAGAAGGGAAGAAGGCCCTCTCCTATCCCTTCTGGCGAAAAGGTCTACAATCCCTTTGTGGTGCAATTGGCACATATGTTTTGGGGAGCTCAGAGCCCCTCTTTCTTACTCGAAATAGTCCTGCGAAAACAGCCAGACCTCCTGCTCTGGACGTTCCCAAATTAGGTGATCGCAAGCAGCCTCAGAGCAGTGAGTCTCCCCATTCTGGTCCTCTCTCCTGGGATGGGACCAGGCTGAGTTCTTCCTTTACCCTTTTTCCTCGTACCTGGGCTAACCATCCAGCGTAAGGCCCCAGCGCTGAGATGTCCTTTCCACTAGGTGGGATGCCCCTTTAGAAAGTGCACTCGAGGCCAGGCTCAGTGGCTCATGCTTGTAATCCCAGCACTTTGGGAGGCCGAGGTGGGAGGATCACCTGAGGTCAGGAGTTCAAGACCAGCCTGGCCAACATGGGAAAACTCCGTCTCTACTAAAAATACAAAAAATTAGCTGGACGTAGTGGTGCATGCCTGTAACCCCAGCTACTTGGGAGGCTAAGAGAGGAGAATTGCTTGAACCTGGGAGGCGGAGGTCGCAGTGAGCCAAGATCCCACCACTGCACTCCAGCCTGGGTGACAAAGCGAGACTGCATCTCAAAGAAAAAAAAAAAAAAAGAAAGAAAGAAAGAAAGAAAAGAAAAGAAAAGTGCACTGGAATTCCTCAGCAGATGTGAGCTGAGTCCTCTTCCCGGTGGGGCAGTGGGGGGGCGATTTGCGGCGAGAGAGTGTGCTTCATGTCCACAGCAGACATTAGTCCCCAGCAGCTCATCGTTTTCCAGTCCCACCGTGGGACAAACTTCCTCTATTCCGTCAGACTAACCTCTGGGTTGCATCCCAAAACGTTGAGACAAATGTAACCCTGAGATTAATAAAAAAAATTTAAAATGTCCAATTTTCTTTTGTAATACAGCATGGCCTCTATGCAGAAAACCTCAAATTAGTCTCCTCAGTCTTTTATAACCAAGAGCAGGATAAGGACAGGGCTAAGGAGAAAGAAGAACGCAGGGACAAGAAGCAGGGTCAACTGTTGGCTGCTTTGCAAGTCCCTAGCCTCCATTCCAGGTTGCCCTAAGGATACTCCTCCA